AATACTTGGTGAGGATTACCCAATCACAAACCAAATATTTGCGAAAGAAATACTAGAGCTACATGAATTCCCACCTATGAAACTCCCAAAATTTTCCCGGTTATGCAATCAGGTGTTAGGGATACAGGGGAAGCATAATATCTCACCCAAAGCTAGCAAATCCTACATCCAGTTGTATCCATCCTTCAACACATAACCAAGAAACCTTCGGAAATCATTTACCTCAACCTTCGAAAAGCACCCGTTATATGAGTTATGGCAATACTCCCAAACTCTCGCCCCGGTACTGGGTGGCGTCGAGGTTATCTCACCAACAACTGCATAAAAGATATTTTCGATGTCGGCGAAACTTAGGTATTCCAGAACTGCAACGATAAAATTGTGACGACAGCACCTCGGAGCTCAACTCCCCGGGACACCGCCACAAACCCTAAATGTCAGGAGGCACCAAGAACAATGTTCTTGTCACAAAACCATCGAAACGATTCCAAGATACCCGCGTGATCCTAAATTTTTTTTAGTGAAATTTGAGAAGAGAAGAGTCAAAACTCTACGTCAGGATGCCTCACCAAAGCGACAAAGGGACTGAGGAGTAAAAAGAATCCTACTCTCCGATATATATAAATCCTAAAAGACTCAAAACATTTTTTCTATACTCAACAACGCCAACGATTCGATCAAGCAGGGGGCTCCTAAGTCGGGGAAGGCTCTGATTACCAAGCTGTAACACCCACGATGCGGCTATATCTCCCACGTGTCGGGGCACGACTTAGAGGCATAACCGCATTGTAGGCAATGTCGCAAGAGGGGTAATCTTTACACATCCCATGTACTGAATAAGGAAAGAGGTACATAGTTGGCTTACAATCACCACGTCACACAATAGCATAAATATATCATTACATTCATCTAGATACAAACAAGGTCTGACTACGGAACCAAAATAAAGACAACCCCAAAAGCATAATGTCTCTGATCATCCCAACTGGGCTTCACTACTGATCGTCTGGAAAGGAAACGTAGTATCGTCCTGAGTCCTCATCGAACTCCCACTTGACCTCAGCCGAATCTCCTGGAATGGTATCATCGGTCCCTGCATCTGGTTTTGGAAGTAATCTGTGAGTCACGGGGGACTCAGCAATCTCACACCCTCGCGATCAAGACTATTTAAGCTTATAGGTAGGGTAAAAAGGTATGAGGTGGAGCTGCAGCAAGCACTAGCATATATGTTGGCTAACATACGCAAAAGAGAGCGAGAAGAGAAGGCAAGGCACGGTCGAGGGACTATGATCAAGAAGTGATCCTAGAACAACCTACATTCAAGCATAACACGAGACTGTGTTCTCTTCCCGGACTCCGCCGAAAAGAGACCATCACGGCCACACACTCTGTTGATTCATTTTAATTAAGGTAAGCTTCAGGTTTTGTACAACCGGACATTAACAAATTCCCATCTGCCCATAACCGCGGGCACGGCTTTCGAAAGTTCAAATCCCTGCAGGGGAGTCCCAACTTAGCCCATCACAAGTGTAACGCCCTCGATGCGGCTATATCTCCCACGTGTCGAAGCACGACTTAGAGGCATAACCGCATTGAAAGCAATGTCGCAAGTGAGGTAATCTTCACACAACCCATGTAATACATAAGGGGAAGAGATACATAGTTGGCTTACAATCGCCACTTCACATAGTTCATGAATAAAGCATTACATTCATCCAGATACACTCAAGGTCCGACTACGGAACCAAAATAAAAGAAGACTACCCCAAATGCTACATAGATCCCCGATCGTCCCAACTGGGCTCCACTACTGATCGACTGGAAAACGGAACAACATAAAGAACACGATCTTCATAGAGCTCCTCCTTGAGCTTGGTTGCGTCACCTGCACGGTTCATCGGCACCTGCAAGCTGGTTTTGGAAGTATCTGTGAGTCACGGGGACTCAGCAATCTCACACCCTCGTGATCAAGACTATTTAAGCTTATAGGTAGGGTAAAAAGGTAAGAGGTGGAGCTGCAGCAAGCGACTAGCATATATGGTGGCTAACATACGCAAATGAGAGCGAGAAGAGGAGGCAAAAGCACGGTCGAGAAACTATGATCAAGAAGTGATCATAGAACAACCTACGTCAAGCATAACTCCAACACCGTGTTCACTTCCCGGACTCCGCCGAGAAGAGACCATCACGGTTACACACGCGGTTGGTGCATTTTAATTAGGGACATTTGCATTTCTGTCCCTAACTCGAACCACCTAATCAGATATACCCCTAATTCGAAAGCCTGCTCAAAAATGCCCCTCCGCCGTTACGTGCCCTTACAGAAATGCCCTTTTGCGCCGTTACCGTCCGGTCAAACAACTTTGACCGTCCTGAAAAAAATAGCAATTTTTTTTTTAAAAATCTAAAATTTTGTGAGATCGAAGATACTCATGTGCGCAAGGTGCGTGCAAATTTTTGTGCTATTTGGACATTCCAGGAGCTCGTGGCGAGGAAAAACAGTTAATATGCACGCTAGTGAACAGTAAATTTGAAATAAAATAGCCAGAAAATTCAAAAAAATATGAAATTTTTTGGCATCAAAGAGGCTTGGGTGCACAAGGTGCTTGCAAGTTTTTGTGATCAAATGACTTGCGAGGAGCTCTCGCAAGAAAAAACAAAATAGTCATTTTTTCCCAAGTTTTTTCCCGGGCCAGATTTTGTTTTTTTCTCCACAAGCCCCTCCAATGTCCAAACACAACAAAAATTGGCACGCAGCTTTTAGACCATAGCCTCTTTGATGCCAAAAAATTTCATATTTTTTTGAATTTTCTTGCTATTTTTTTGAATTTACTGTTCACAGGCTTACATATTTACTGTTTTTCCTTTGACACGAGCTCCTGGAATGCCCAAACAGCACGAAAAATTGCACGCACCTTGCGAACCTGAGTATCTTTGATCTCACAAATTTTCAGATTTTTTAGATTTTTTTTGCTATTTTTTTGGGGCCGGTCAATGCCCTTTGACCGGCTTTGACCGGACGGTAATGGCGCAAAAGGGCATTTCTGTAAGGGCACGTAACGGCAGAGGGGCATTTTTGAGCAGGCTTTCGAATTAGGGGCAAATGTGAGTAGTGGGTTCGAGTTAGGGACACAGATGTAAAAGACCCTTTTAATTAAGGTAAGCTTCAGGTTTTCTACAATCGGACATTAACAAATTCCCATCTGCCCATAACCGCGGGCACGGCTTTTGAAAGTTCAAATCCCTGCAGGGGAGTCCCAACTTAGCCCATCACAAGCTCTCACGGTCAACGAAGGATATTCCTTCTCCCAAGACAATCCGATCAGACTCGGCATCCCGGTTACAAGACATCCTCGACAATGGTAAAAACAAGTCAACACCGCCCGAATGTGCCGACAAATCCCGATAGGAGATGCACATATCTCGTTCTCAGGGCACACTCAGATGAGACATCCTACGAATAAAACCAACCCTCAAGTTTCCCCGAGATGGCCCTGTAGTCTACTCGGTCGGACCAACACTCAGAGGAGCACTGGCCCAGGGGGGTTTAAATAAAGATGACCCTTGAGTCTGCAGAACCCAAGGGAAAGAAAAGGCTAGGTGGCGAATGGTAAAACAAATGTTGGGCATTGCTGGAGGAGTTTTATTCAAGGCGAACTGTCAAGGGGTTCCCATTATAACCCAACCGTGTAAGGAACGTAAAATCCAGGAACATAACACCGATATGACGGAAACTAGGGCGGCAAGAGTGGAACAAAACACCATGCATAAGGCCGAGCCTTCCACCCTTTACCAAGTATATAGATGCATTAACTAAATGAGAGATATTGTGATATCCCAACAAAATATCCATGTTCCAACAAGGAACAAACTCCAATCTTCACCTACAACTAGCAACGCTATAAGAGGGGCTGAGCAAAGCGGTAACATAGCCAAACAACGGTTTGCTAGGACAAGGTGGGTTAGAGGCTTGGCTCAACAATATGGGAGGCATGATAAGCAAGTGGTAGGTATTGCGGCATAGGCATAGCGAAAGAACGAGCAACTAGCAAGCAAAGATAGAAGTGATTTTGAGGATATGGTCATCTTGCCTGAGATCCCGCAAGGAAGAAGAACGAGTCCATGAAGAAGACAAACGGACGTAGTCGAACGGATCCTCACAAACGCAACGTTATCGGAACTAGCCCGAAGAAGCAACACCGGAAAGGAGCAAACAACATAATAAACAACCATCACATGAACATTGCATGATGCACAAACAAGTATGATGCATGTCCGGTTTAAAGATACATGGCATGGCAAAGTGCCCAAACAATCCTACAAATTAAGTGGAGCTCAATATGCAACTCCGTTGCGTATTGACGAAACACCACATGACTAATTTAGTTCTCTCTCGTTTAGGTACTCAACAATATTAAATGTTGTTAAACATGGCAAGAGGAGAAGCATAATAAAACTACCTAATTAGGCAAGTTTAAATGAGGCCGGAACAACAAACAATAATTCCGGTAGATCCCCATATGCATTTATCAATCTGGTGCAACAACAATTTTTAAAACTTCAAATGTTATTATCATGATGCGAATGACATGTGCAAGTTTTATGCAATATTTATGAAAATGTTGATACGAGCATTTTATGAAGCATTTGTCATTGTGGTAGAAAGAAAGGGGTGCCACGACGTTGAAACGGTAATGATGCCATGGCAACATTCCGGTTCTGGTACTTGATTGAGATACCGATGCAAAGGAGAAGTGTGCGGATGCGTGCAAAAGATGGTGGGGCGCTCTCGGATTCCGGGTGTCCCACGAGTTGGTGACAAGGAAACGAGTGACAATTTGGACACGGTGCAAACACGAGCATCTCAAACATCGCAAGCATTCGTCCACGGCGGTCGTCTCGATGTTATACCTCTGAAGCGTGCATTATCGGAGCGGTTCGAGTCGGCGTAGAGGAAGTAGTGGAAGTAGACGTTCTCGGACGTCGAGGGAAGTAGTGGTTCACGCGACGGTAGTCGAAGTAGTCGTTCTCGCACGCTCTAGGGTCGACGGTAGAGGTTCTCGTGATCTCGGCGACGGTAGTGGTACATATTTATCGTTGCACGAGTTTCCGTAGACGTTCATGTCATCGGTGTCGAGGTACTTGGGGTCTTCGGACTTTCCGGTCCCGTTCTTGCGACGGTAGTCATTCACGTTCGCTTCGGAGAGGTACTTGATGACTCCAAACCCTTCGCGGTCGACGGTAGTTGAACTTGATGCTTGTGGTGCACATGTCTTCGTCAACGGTAGTGGTACAAGGTCGTCGTGGGAAGTGGTCGTACTCGCGAACTTGTCGGATCCATGGCGACGGTAGTGGAACTTCAGGGATCCGTGGTCTCCGGGCGTAATGGTACTTGGCGAATCCCGCAACATTATTGACGATCCAAAATGGCACAAGTGGGATGCACATCCACGGAGTCTTCCGGCTTGGGCTCCTAGTACACGACTTGACGAACCCAGGGAGACGATGGAAAAAGCCAACATCGTAACATCAACAGCCAACGAGGCCACAGACAAGACTTGGGGCTCCCCGAACCCATGGAAACGGCCGGCACCAGGAGGCTGCTAGTGGAGGCAGGGCCACGCCGAGGTCGAAGGTGGCCGGGCGAGCTCGACGGAGGTCATCCGCTGTCGGACGAAGCAAGAGCAGCAAGGCACAGCAACACTCGAAGCTGCAGGCCAGCACAATGGCCTCCATGGTCGGCGGCCATGCAGGTCATACGAGGCAAGGCGGGCGTGCAAAAGGGCGGTCGCACGGTCATAGGCCGGCGGCGAAACGACCACAGGGGAGGAGAGGCCAGAGTAGTCGCACGCGCAGGGCGGCGTAGTCCAACAAGACACAGCGGGGCGGCGGCCAAGCGACAAGGAGGAGGCGAATGGGCGAGGGGAAGGTAGAGATGGTGTAGGTCGGGTCACCGGCGCGGGCGCCATGGTCGCCTGTAGAGGCCGCAACAGGGGGTTTGAGCGAGGCCTGAGCGGCGCTAGCAAGAAACTAGACGAGGGGAGAGAGGAAGATGGGGACGAGAGGGATGGAGAAGAAAGGAGATCGAGGGAGAGAAAGGATGGGGATCGAGCTGCGTGCGCCCCTCTCCTGAGCGATGTGCGTGTGTGGCGCGGTGGAAGGGAACGAGGAGGAGGGAGACAGGTGTGGCAGCGGCCTCAGGAACGAGAGGGAGAGATGGGATCGAGCAGCGTGGCTAGGTTAAGGAGGGACTTGGTGGGCTGTGGGAACACGAGACAGTTGGGCCATGAGCCTGGGAGGCCGGCGCTGCTAGGAGGCCCAAATGGCCAGAGGCGGCTGGGCTCCCTTCTCCCTCCCTCTTCTCTTAAAAAAACTTATTTTCTTTAACAGAAAAGAAGTTAGGGAGAGAGGAAAAGAAAGAGAGGGTTAGGGACGGATTTTGCGCATGGGGATAATATTCCCGGACTCGCAAAAATGTGTATGATCCAAGAAAAATGGAGTGGCCATTTTACAAAGTTTAAATTCGAACTCATTTGATTTAAATTCAAATGGTTCGAATAGGAAGTGAGGGTTAGGAAGGTCCAAAAATGTTCGGATTTTTGGTGGAGCTCCGAAAAATGACGAAATAATTTATGGGCAAAGTTTGGAGACCAAGAATTGAGATAACAAAGGCATGGGATATTTGCAAGTGAGTTTATGGGTGAATCCAAAATTATTGGAATATTTAATATAGCTCCATAAATATTAGGAGGATAATGTTATAAAGAGAAGTCACTCTTCCCTCGGTTTAAGTGGATCAAAGATCCATATGGTTTATTTAGTTGAGTTAAGAAAAGAAATGACATGATGGCATGATGACATGATGCAATGCACATGATGCAAAGATTAATGCAACAGACGAAACAAAACACACAACGAAACCCGGAAACCCTGGAAGGCATCTGCAGCTCCGGTCTTGGGGCGTCACAACACTCCACCACTACGAGAGGATCTCGTCCCGAGATCTAGGATGGCACCGGAGGGAAAAAGAAGAGGAAGAGAAGAGGTAAAACTAAGTTGCTTCTTTGACAAGCGAGTGAAACCAAAGAACCTTGAAAGGTTAAGCCATTTCGAGAAACGAATACAACTGAGACGAACGAAGTTAATAACTCTCCGTTAGAAAAGAGGAACAAGGAAGAATAAATTCGGACATCACTCCAGTTGAAAAGAGATAAGAAGAAAAGAACTTGAGCAGAGGGCACAACACTCCGATTAAATGGATAACTAAAGGAAAGAAAAATGATCTTGACAAAACAAGAAGATGGGTTGAAGAGAGCAACATCACAATGCCTCCGGGAGAAATGAAAGAGCGGAATGGAAAGAACGAAGGGAAACAAGTTCTTGAGAGAGCACGCTTACAACAAATGCTAGAACGGAGTTGTTGGATTATCAACAACGAAAGGATAAGCTTGATGTGGGCTTATAGAAGACATCTCAAAATTATGGGGTGAAATTCTGCCACTAACGAAAACAATGGATTTGGATTGATATGAACAAGGAGACGAGAAAATATTTCAACGGGAGGATAAATGAAGAACTTGGGTCATTTATAAGCACCATAGATAGCAACACTCCTTAGGGAAGGCTTAAGGTGTAATATAACCCAAGATAACTCCAATGACGAGATTGATGGATTTAAAATATCTCATACTTGACACCTTGTGAAACAAGAAACACGAAGGAAAATTATCAAGAATGACATAACACCACCTCAAAAGATAAGGTAAAAGAATTGCACTCCGGATTGCAAGATGAAGAATACTTGAGCTCCTTAGAAAAGAATCTCGATGAAAACTTCAAGAAGGAATTAAATCCTTGATGAACCATCATGTAGAACCTTCATGAAGAACTCCGGTAACAAAAGGATTATCACACGAAAGGAAAGAGAAGTTGAAAACACAAGGTGAAGTCCTGCGATGATTTAGATGAATCTCCGTGGTGATATAATTGCGAGAGCTTGGAACTCTGGGAAAGAAAAATAAAGCAAGTGAAACCGAGAATTTGATGGACCTCCGGAATAGGGAATTGAGTTCGCTCGATGAAACAAGAATAAGAATTACATTATGCGTATCCTTCACCAATTTAAATTGATGACAAGCAACGGATTTTTGCATACTACTTATTCTCATGGAAAGGATTAAGATAGATATCGCGCCAACTTGAGAAAGTCTTCAATGAACCACCGGTAGGATTGAAACAATGAATAAATTGATATGATAAACGAAGGAAGAAAAAAATCTTGGAAGAACCACCGTAAGAATTGAAAAATATACAAAGTAAAGGGATGAATCATCGGTAAGAATTAAAGAACAAATGAAGATACTTGAGATAATTTAGATACAAGAGAACGAAGAGATCACAAACTGATTAGAGAATATTTGAACGATGTACCGGTAAGATTTGGAGAACGAGAGCTGAAAGCTGAGAATGAAAAGTCTTCTGAAATGATGGGCTCCGGAGAATCAAACTGAAAATACCCTTGAATAGCTCCTGATGGGTGAAAAGGATTCTCACAATCGAAAATAATTATGAGAGGATGGCAACAAGCTAGCACCATGAATCTTGAAGAGAATGGAGCAATATATGGAGGAGAACTCTTCTTCGGTCTTCAATTGCAGAGAATGACGATGAGAAACACCACCATGAATTGTTGAGATACTCCGGGATGAAAATTAGAAAGGTTGAGCCAACGATGAAAAGAATGTGCAAGATCTTGGAGAAGGCATTTGACTGATGATAACACATTCTTACGTCAAGATTGGAAAAGAATTTGATAAGCTCCGGGAAAATAAGAAGAGTCAGGTAAGATCCTGGAAAAAGACCTGTGGGTTAGGGCCCACTCAGAAGAAACGCCGTTGAAATGGTTTAAAAGAGAGATTGCACCGGTTGAATTAAATGGCTTGAATGAGATTACAACCTCGAAAGAGCTTGAACGGATCGAGAATGGAAATGTGAATCTTCTGAGATATCTTCGGCACTCCGGAACAAATGAATAGCGAGAAGTGAATGATTATGAGGTGCACCGGCATGAGAAAACATTTGAAACAAGGAAAGGATATGATCAACAAAGCTTGAATTGAATCCACCGGAGAAGAAAAGAACGAAGAATGATGAACTTGAAGCTCCGTTAGAATCTTCATGAGAATCACCAGATACGAACATTGAAAGAAAAGAATGAAGAGACTTCACAAGAATAAAATGGATACTTGATTAAGAAATCTGAGTCCTCGAAGAAAAAGGGTGGGAGGGTGGGAAAAACAAAGGCAACTTGGGACGAATGAAACAAACACCGTTGAGAATACTTAGAGTTGGTCTTGCAGATGGGGAGAATGATGGGATCATCTCGAAGAGAAGCGCACCGGTTGGAAAAGGATTGACAAGACAATCTCGATTATCATGAAGGATTGGTATTCACATAGGAGTATGAGAACACCACTTAGAAAGGTATGGAATCAACATTTGACTTCGAAGCAACTCGAATACCACAGCTCAGAACAAAACAAAGGATTGGCTTGCGGAATAAGCCGGAACAAACATATGATAGAGAATTCGTCCGAAGTTTTCGTGGTGGGGCCTACACGGGCTCGATCGTACAACACCATCATGTACAAGGCAGTGCACATGACATACGAAGCGTCCCCGAGTCGGCATAGCCAAGGACTCTTTAAGACACAACGAGACCACTGTAAAACCAACCGTGGATAGGCGGACCACTAGACGTCGAACCCCGATTTCATATCATACATCTATCGGAAAGATATCCTAAGAGCTACTTGAATTCCCACTTATAAACTCCCGAAATTTTTCCGGTTATGCAATCAGGTGTTGGGAATACAGGGGAAGCATAATATCTCACCCAAAACTAACATATCCTACATCCAGCTGTATCCATCCTTCAACACATAACCAAGAAACCTTCAAAATCGTTTACCTCAACCTTCGAAAAGCATCCGTTATACGAGTTATGGCAATACTCCCGAACTCCCGCCCCAGTACTAGGTGGCATCGAGGTTATCTCACCAACAACTACATAAAAGAGATTTTCGATGTCGGCGAAAAACTCAGGTATTCCAGAGCAGCAACGATAAAATTGTGACGACAACACCTCGGAGCTCAACTCCCCGGGACACTACCACAAACCCTAAATGTCAGGAGGCACCAAGAACAATGTTCTCGTCACAAAACCATCAGAACGATTCCAAGATACCCGCGTGATCCTAAATTTTTTTAGTGAAATTTGAGAAGAGAAGAGTCAAAACTCTACGTCAGGATGCCTCACCAGAGCGACGAAGGGACTGGGGAGTAAAAAGAATCCTACTCTCCGATAGATATAAATCCTAAAAGACTCAAACATTTTTTTTCTAGACTCAACAACACCAACGATTCGATCAAGCAGGGGGCTCCTAAGTCGGGGAAGGCTCTGATTACCAACTTGTAACACCCACGATGCGGCTATATCCCACATGTCGGGGCACGACTTAGAGGCATAACCGCATTGTAGGCAATGTCGCAAGAGGGGTAATCTTTACACATCCCATGTACTGAATAAGGAAAGAGGTACATAGTTGGCTTACAATCACCACGTCACACAATAGCATAAATATATCATTACATTCATCCAGATACAACACAAGGTCCGACTACGGAACCAAAATAAAGACAACCCCCAAAGCATAATGTCCCCGATCGTCCCAACT